TGTATGGTTTTGTATAACCAGGTATGGATGGCCCATATAATTGTAGCCATGACATTTATAGTTAGTGAAAAATAACTATAAAAAATGCTTTAGACTTGCCAATTTATGAATGAATCCCAAATGGCTAATGGTACCAAAAAAAAAAAAAAAAAAAAAAAAAAAAGTGAGGGCTTGCACCAAGAGGGCAAGAAGAATGAATTATTATAATAGACAAGATGTACCCCTGTGCTGTTATTCATAGTGGTTAAATTCTCAGATGGAGTGTTCAATGTTTGATGTATATACACATGTTTTCTTGCTTATTGTGTTACTACAGTCAAGTCATCCTTTTTAATTTCAATTCTGAAGTTATATATCTATAAAACTAACAAGCATCACATTTAGACAGTAGGAGAAAAAGGGCAATGTACCTTTGTTATGCTTTGGAAAGAGCCACTAATTTTCTGTGTTTCATTACGTTTGTCACAGAGCTGTGGGTTTTTTCCTGTGACTGTTGCGGTATATTTATTGTAGATGTACCTAGATAGATAATGAAGTATTGCACTGAGTTTGAATATTGGCTTATGCTGGCTTTTTTGGGTTGCATTAAACACTGAGATCTTAAATTGTAGCCCAGATTTTACTGTTACTTCGTGAGGTTGGTTGGTTCTGGACAAAACTGTGCTATCAGTCTTTAAAAAGTAAAAGTAGTAATAGTTGGAATGCAGATGAAAATCTGTTTTCTAATGAAATTTTAAACACTGTACGTAAAGTGTAGACATGTCCTGATTAAGATACATTATGAATTTATTTGACTGTAAGATTTGTGTTCAGAATTTTTTTCTTTTGCAACAGTGGAGACATTACAAAGAATGTAATGTAAGCCCGGTGCAATATAATACAGACTCTTAATTTATCTGTTATCCAGTCTTGCACTGACTTTAACTCTTTGTCATTTGAAAATTACTTGACATAGAAGTCTTTTTTAAGATCTCAGCTAAGTAACGACCCCCAAATACCCACCAGTACTGACAAACTCAGTTATACAATCGCTCAAAGAATTTATCTCTGAAAGAAAATACGATAGACTTTTCAATCTTAATTGAGATGGTTTAAAAATTTATTTTTAAAAGTGGACCACGTTTTATGTTAAATCAAATGTGAATTTACAGCAAAGTATTGTGTGAAAATATGTTCATTTCAGGAGATTCATATAATTTTTTAATCTCAGGGTAAGAACTTGCTGAGATAAAATGATATGCTCATTTATCTGATATGGACATCTCTATTTTCTATTGGAAAACTGGAATTTTTAAGTTGACATCTACTTTTTGTAGAATTCTGGTAGATGCCAAAGCTCATAAACTACAGAATTGCTTCTTACTGTAGGACTATAGCATCTGTACCCTGCTATCTGGGAATAGATCTCTGTGTGAAGTTCATCAAGCATTCAGGTGTCAAGTCTGGCAACAGGAAAGATATACCACTTGAATTGCATATATTGTCAGCTCAGACATCGTTTTCAAAACCCAAAGTCCAGTCTGAATACAGATGTATCAGTGCTGCGTCCCATTCTCACAAAACAGAGTTCAAGAGATTTGCTTTTGTCCCTGTGTAAACACTCAAATCTCTGTCAGATATGCATGTTTTGAAAACTCCTAAATTACTGTAAAATTGAATTTCACCTTTGGCTTAGCTGTAGTCAATTGATTTACATAGGTTTCAAAATGCAAATAATCAGTTTTCAGGGCTCTGAGAATGCTTCTAATGCATTGATTGTCAGTAAACCTGTTCCATTTTCAGTGTTTACATTAAATATGTCTCTATTGTTATAATATTCTAAATTATTTTTAAAATAATGATCACTAAAACTTTCTCTTAATGTAGTTCCAATGGAATAAGGGTATAAAATTCTCTACAGAAATATGGGTTTTCATTTTCTCTCTGCCCTAAACCTGCTTTTCAGAGGGTTTTAGAAATCTGTTCGTGTGTTTGTAAGGACATAGGCATTCAGTTTTATCCTGCTTTCTGGAGGGCAATCAGTGCAGATTTTTATCTTTTGATTGCTTCAAATACATTTCTCTCTCTTTGGGCAGAAAAGGTGATCTACTATTTAGTCAAACCTGTTTTATAAAAGTTTTCTCTTTAGTATCATCCTGGTATTGCTGAAACTTTTGCTGCTTTTTAAGCAATTATCCTCTACCTTGGATTTTCCATCTTTCAGATACTGCATTTGGAAACTACTACATTCCTTCTTCAAGCTTTTATGTAAAATCATGTGTGTCCAAACCTGCTTACTTCTTTTGTCCTTGAATATTGGTTCCTTGAACTCTCTCCAATGAGTTTAATTGCTGGTATTGGAGGAGAGCACAAGCCAAAAACTTAACAAAGAAGTTAAACAGATTATTACTTCTGATGGATACTTTTGGCATTGTAATTTGGTAGTGCGGTCACTACATTTTTGTCTAGCCTCTCTTCCAAACCAGCCAGCCTGAATATTCTGAACTGCCCAAGGACTCATTTTATCTTACAAATGTTTATGCAAATGTGTTCTATACAAGTTAACATATTAAATAAACTGAGTTTTATTCTCAGTCCTAGCATTTAATTTTATCAGTCTGTCATTAAAAATAGCCAGTTGCAAATTAGCAGTGCTAGCTGACTCTCTTTAATCAATTCCTTAGCAATTGTGAGGTTCAGAATTACTTTCAGAAGCATTTAATAATGCCAGTGTAACATTTATATGGCATCTCAGGACAAAGGAGTTAATCATGACACAGAATCTAAACTGCAGATTGACAGAAATAAATCAGATGAGGGAGAAGAATTCCCACCAATATTATTTCACAAACGGTGGCATCTAATTGCCTTCCGTGTGTTCACCAGGACTACTCTGAATCTTGTTTCTGAATGATTGATTGCTCAGCTCAGCTGTTAAACTGAATTTGCAGTTTATCGAAGGCTGTTGTGAAGTGAGTAAAGCCTTGAAAATGAGTTGAACAGCGTCATACATTACTGTTGGCTGCTGTGTTGGTTAATGCTGCACATCTAGCCCTCTGACATTATCACAGACATTATAATCTTCTATTACTGCAGGGGAATGGCCTGCTATCAGTAATGTGTTCAGTCCTTGAAAGATTCAATATCAAAAGCCATTTACTTCTGTAGGATTGCAAGTTTGTTCTACGGATTCAGATTGCCTTATAAAGGCATATACGAGTTCTTTAGCCGCTCTGTTTACTCACATCTTGAGTAGCTACCACTATATATACATGTAGCATTTAGGTTTGACATTCTGAATGCTGCTGGCCCCATACTTAATCTGTGTGTGCTTATGTAGAATGAGTTACTGTATCATTTGTTTTTTTTTCTCTCTGCCTCTACAACAGTAATAAACCTGTCTCACCATTATCCGAACATCTCCAAGGGCAGGCAGTGAGCTCCAGAGTGAAAAGCACATCCCTGGTCTTCAGTTGTACACTTGTAAAAAAAGTACTGGACAGTACTATGGAACCACAGGCAAACCAGAGTGATGGCGAAGCCTGAAAAGTGTATTGGCTTTGTGTGTGTTGGGGTTTTGGTAGCAGGGGAGGGGGCTACAGTGGTGGCCCCTGTGAGAAGCTTCTGGAAACTCCCCAGCTCCAAGTCAGACCCACCTCTGGCCAAGGCCGAGCCAATCTGCAACAGTGGCTGCACATCTCTGATAATGTATTTAAGAAGGGGAACCTGGGAGGAGGAGGAGTGAGGGAAAAACCTCTGCAAACACTGAGGTCAGTGGAAGAAAAGGGGAGAAAGAGAGACCTGCTGGAGCAGAGACCCCCCCGCAGCCCGTGGCGAGAGGGCAGCTGTGCCCTGAGCCCACGGAGGTCACCGGTGGAGCAGATGCCGACCTGCAGCCCCTGGAGGTGCCCGTGCCGGAGCAGGGGGCTGAGCCTGGAGAGGGTCAGGACACACAAAGCAGGGCAGCCCCACTGGAGCAGTCTCCTGCTGGGAGAACTGCAGTCTGCGGGAGGGACCCCAGGCTGGAGCAGAGGAAGAGTGTGAGGAGTCCTCCCATGAGGAGGAAGGAGCGGCAGGGACAGCGGGTGATGAACTGACCACAACCCCCGTCCCCTGCACCCACTGTGCTGTTCTGGGGGAGGAGGGAGAGAAATCAGGAGCAAAGCTGAGCCCCAGAAGAAGGGGAGGTTGGAGGAAAGGTGTGTTTAAGATGTGGTTGTATTTTTCACTGTCCTACTGTCTTTGATTGGTAAATCAATGGTGCTGGTAGTGGTGTTCAAACTAAATTGATGTTCTTTTTTCCCAAAGTGAGTCTGTCTTTTGCCCATGACCATAATGAGTGAGACATCCCTCCCTGTCCTTGTCTTGATCTCCAGCCCTTTCGTTACATCTTCTTTTCCACATCCCACCAAGGGAGAGGAATGATTGAGCAGCTGCATGGTGCTCATTTTCCCTCTGGGCTTAAATCATGACAAAAAGTTTAATGTTTGGCTCAGTGTGTGCTACTGTTCAAACACTGGAGAAGGGACAAACTTTTTTTTATTATTTCATGATCATTCAAGCTCACTGAGAAACTGTACAAGAATGTATCTTACTTTTTAGTCTAGGATTAGCCTGTTGAAAAGTAATGCTCTGTTTCAAAGTGCTTGTTTTAGGTATTTCCCAAGTATGAATATTTCATATGTGAACTATCAACTGAACACAGCCCCAGTCACAGATTTGAGCAGACATATACAATATATTTGAGACCAGCTAGTAGGAATAATAAAGAATACTTGTCACAGTATCTTATTTTTATTTTGAAAGAAAAAAATATAAAACATTTAAGATATGTGTATAATATATAAATATATATTTATTAAAGGATAGTGTTGTTTTACCATATAAGTCAAATATTGACCAATATCTCATGAATTTGCTCTGTCCAACATTTACCTGTGTTCTTATGGCTGTTTCTAGTGCTTGCTCTAGGCTATTCTGATATCTCCTACTATGAATAAAGTATTATTCAATGTCGTTTTAGGTCACTTTCACAGAAGAGCAGCACAATCATGGAGTGTGGACTATGTGCACTGGCAGCTTGCCCAGCAACAAAACCAAAATATTAATTGGGAAGCAGAAATGCAGGTGGGGAATACTGGGGCATTCATTCATTCTGCAGATAAAATGGAAGGATTTGATTTCAGAATGGATTCTTTTTTTCTTGAATATCTCAGGATTCTGCTTAATTTAGTTTGATGCCATCTTGTTGAAATATTTTCTTCATGATTCTACATTAAAATTTAAATGACTTTTCTTCCTGTAGTCATTGCTTATGGGCATAATTTGAAGCAGCTGATTAATATCACCATCTTTTGTATGTAAGTCAATAATGGACACTAGGAAGATTAATGTTTGTAAAAGAAAAGATGATATAACTCTAATAAATCTTTTGTGGGAGTAATATGTCTTCTGTTACCAGTACAGAAATGCTGAAGTTAAATCTGGTGCATAATAAAGATTGCCAGTTGGTCATGGGACATAACCCAGCAATGATGGGAGAGGCAGGTGCAGTCTTTTTGCTGACTTTGGGTGGCCCCAGTTATGTGTCAGAGCTCGTGGCATTCTTTCCTTGGCATCACCTTTGAGACACAGTTTTGAAGAATTCACACAGGACTTTTAAAAGCTCTGCAGAAGTAAAATAACTTTCATTTTTCCATTGGCTTTCTTATCGCCAAAACCATATAATACTAATCTTAAAAAAAAAATAAATAATAACCTCTCTGAAGTAATGTTTTGAGGAAAGTGTCCCTTTCTTATTCCTTTATCATAATTGACAGGCCGTAGAAACTCCTCTCCTGAATGTTTTATGAAAAATGTTATGCCAGGACGACTGAGCAAGGCTGCACTGAAACCAAGTCCCAGCTGACATGTGAATAATCTCCACCCTGAACAATTTGGAGCTGCAGTGAAAGTGTTGTCTGATAACAGATGGGTGAGTCCATGCCACAGCAGCTGAGGGAGTTGCAAGAAATGTCATGTGGCTGGATTTTATTTACTCTTTTTTTTTTTTTTTTTTCAAAGCCTCTCTGTTGCTTCCTTGCCACAGAAACCTATTCCCCCAGCTTTCAAAGTGAGAAGGAAACTTTATTGTCTTCTTAATCTCAAAGTCCTTTTCCACCAGTAGTATCTAGAGAGCAAGGGGACAAGATCTATGCTAAGACACAGCAAAGCAGTTTACCTTCACTCAAGAGGTTTTATTTGCAAAGTAAAACATCCATCATAAAGGTCATTTTTACTCCAGCGGTTCCGACTCCCTCCTCCTTAACAGGTAACAATGTCAGCTAAACCCAGCTGCACAGAGCAATTCAGATCCTCCTTGTGAGGTCCTACACTTGTATTGCTCTTTCAGGGGTCAGAGAGAAGATTGTTCTTTGGCCATAGATTTCCCCATGAAAAAAAGTACCCTTTATGGACTATGAAGCTTGTTTTTTATCCTTCAGTTTACCCTTCACAACATCCCTATAGGCTCTCTTTAGGGGTTATCCTGACAAACACTTAGATGACAATAAAATAAAGCCAAAAAGAAGTAAGTCAAAACAAAGATACTCATGAGAGAATTGTCTCTTGAGTGGGGAGTCCCCATGGCATTATCACAGATTCTCAACCAGCCTTCCTAAAATTAACACCAAAGGGAGATAGTTTTATTCCGAACTGAAATACTAGAAAAAGCCTTAGAAAGTTGACTTTCAGAACTCTAACTCTTGATGAGCAAGTGGGATTAAGCCAACGTGTCAATTTATGAGCTAGAAGGTGAGCCCTTCAGTGCTCCTTGTTTACGTTGTTTACAGCAGCCTGCCATGGGGAACTGGGGAAGTGATAGGCTTCTGGCAAGAAAAGATGTTCACAAAGACCAGAGCTGGATATTTTGGGCTAATACCTGAGAGTAGGGCCTGAAATGTTTCTCATACCTTCGCAACTCCAACATTGCTGTGAGGGTGCTGAAAATTTGTCATAAGGAAAATCTATGTTGGGTTTCTTCAGCAGCTTTGGGGTGGAGGGGTTGAAGTATTTCCCTAATCCTGGGGTCATTATCCATTCACAGTCTTCCAAGGAGCTGCTACATGACGTTGGCATTGAGCAGTGCTTAGGGATGGGGTGGGTAGGTGGGGGCAATGCCAGGCTGGTCTGAAAACTGTTGATTTTTAAGTGCTGCTTCTGAGTCTGGGTTTCCTGAGCCTGGGCATCTGCTTCTCTTGAGAGACCTCTCACAGGTGAGGATACTGAGTCAGTCACATGTACCTCCTTTTATCAGTTAGACTTTTTCATGGAGAGCATATTCCTTTACTCTAGAATTTAAATAGATCTCTTAACAACAGGTGGATTATTTCTATTTCTGTGCTCAGATATGGGTGCACTGAAGTGCATTGCTGGATGGAGACAATAGCCAGCTGTAGATTGTCAGTTATATATTGCAGATATTTTTCTTTGTGTGAGAACAAAGTTTTTATTTCTAAGTGCAGTCTGCCAGCAAATGTGAAATTAACTGTTCGAAGTTTCCATTGGACTTTGCAACAAGATGAAGTTGGTTCAAATGAATTATTCAGTTAAATCATGTTAATGCTGTTTTAAGGAGGAACTTTTTTTTTTTTCAGATGGAATTGGTTGAATTTTTGCAGCTTTATCGTTTATTGAACATTTTATCCACATTCATATTTTTCTCCTTTTGCTGTGTAACAAAAATACTATTGAAATAATCGGGGAATGTCCATCATCTGAAAGCTTTGTGGATCTCTGAAGCTCTCTTTTAACGGGACTGAAATGTCATTACATAATTCCCTTTTCACTGAGTCACAAAATCAGATGCCTTTGTTTCATTCTTACTGTGTTACGATGTTGTAAGCAGCAGCTTCTCACACTTTAAACCTGAAAAAGTACTATAACATTTTAGTGTGAAGCATTAGGCAACTGTAACCTTAATTATTGGGAATCTTGAGCTTCATAGCTTAATCTTGAAATATAAATGAAATAGGAGCATTAATATTTATTTATTGGTATTATTCATAAAGTGCAACACAGATCTATGTGTCCAGGGATTCCTTTACATTTTTAATATATACTTTTAAAACAGGACAAAATTAATAATTAAAAAATTCCTCACCCATCTAAATTACACAAGATAATATAAAGATGCACGTTGTAGTGGCTCACGAGAGAATACAGTTTGAGAAAATTGTCAACATAAATTTGTCTGATAAGGTCAAAGTAATGCTGCTGACAGTAGAATAAGGAAGAGAAAATATTTTATTGCTTCCAGGCATCTTCATGTTAAGTCAAGTAAAGAATAAAAAGAACAACTGAAGATGTATAAGGAAAAAAAATTCACTCAAAGGAAAAGCATAGAGAATGTTTTTGGATTGGTCCTACCCTTGTAACGCTCCGCGTAATTGGAGTGTGTTGTTTTTCATACGAGCTGAGACTGAATTAGGCAGCAGATTTAGTTATATCTGGATCAGGTAAATGCATCATCTGCAACCTGAAATCACAATCAGAATATGGCTTTAAGTCCTGACAGTCAATCTTATGATTTAAATTCACCTTCATACTTGTGTTCAGTTTCATTCACTGTGGACAAATTGCAATACTGTGAACACAAACTGGAGGTGTGGCTTTTTTTCCTTAGCATCCCCAGTAAGAAAGGGATTTGGAAACGACCCTTGTGCTTTTTGATGTGTAAATACAGATCAGATCTAATCTTTGCTTGCCTCTTGTGACGTGTATACGAACAGTATTTAAAAAGTATATAAACATCTAAATATAGACATATGGATCTATAAAAGAATTTACATGGCAGATATGAATATTCCCTTGCTTGTTCCTAATTTCTGCACTGCTTGCTCTATGTATTATACTGTAAGTGCTTCATAGCTTAGATGTTTTTCTTCTAGAGCTGTAAGTTGCCATTTTTAGGCACTTTCTGCAGAGCACTAATTGTATTCTCATTGGCATTAATAGAAGTGGTTAGCTCAGTGTGGAGCTCTGCTGCTGCTGCTTGTATGTTTAAGAGCAGGATCAGGATTTCATTTCTTAGATCTTTACAAAAGATGTTATGTCAGGTTAACCTCAGTCTATTCACCTAAAAGTACCCTGCATACAGTCTTTTTGTTTTTCTTTAAGCAAATTATCTGTCATGCTAGGCTTCAGAAAGATGGGAGAAGAATAAGTCTGTGTTGCAGTCAGGTTTCTTCCTTCAGTGTACCCGTGGCTCTAGGACCCTCCAATGTGTCTTGCCTCAAGACAGCATATGAAATTATTTTAGGAGAGAATAAGCTTTTATGGACAGTGTCCTGGTGATTAGGGAGAGTCAGGTGCTGGGGAGTCACCGGGAACAGAGCAGAGCAAACCAAAGATAGCAGAGAGCATGAAAATACAGCAACTCCAGAACAAATGGAAGGCAGAGATTAAAGGAGAAGGCAGCCTAGATGTTAGGAGCAGAGGGGGAAAAGTTTACTCACACCAGATTCCCCCAGAAGAGCAGAAAAACAAAGGATGGAAATAAGACCTTCCTCTTGTTTCTCTGAAGGTTGGTTGTGTTTTGGTCAGTGGTGCTAAGAAAAGTGTGGCATAAGTGTTTAATATGACACAAGAAAACAGAAGATGATAAAGTTGCTTATTTTGTGGAAAATCTGGTATCAGTGTTGGTGGGTAGTTTTTTGAGTCTTTTAAGATTCAGATTTGTTAATAAAGTCCGTACAGAAATGAAGTGTAATCAGCACTTCAATAGCATTATTCAGTCTTGTTCAGGTAACAGTGAATTGAGGACAATCTGTGAGGAGAAAAGGTGATAATTTTAATACTTCTGTTGCTGGTAAGAAATTATTTTGGTTCTCTAATAGTACTTCCAATGCCTAATTTAATTACATGTACTTTTTAACACCTGTTTCTTTGACACATTAGGGATTAGCATCCAGATGCCTCTAAACAAACCCCAGATTATCTGTACTGGTCTGCTAGGAGGAATTGTTAGTTGGGGTAACTCCAAAGGCTTTGTGGATGCTCTGCAATGTGCTTCAGTGAACTTCTGTCAAATGCTTTTAAGAATGAGCCTGTAACTACCAGCAGATGCCTGGTTTAAATTCAGCTTGCAAATCATACAGACCTATTTTTTTCTTTATAAAAAAAATGGAGAGCAATCATAAGGGAATATTGTCTAGGTCCCCGTTGGCAATAATGATAAAAGGTAATGGGTGGAAACATGAAATTTCACTCAGGGATGACCTGTCTTGTGAACATATCACTGTCCCATTTCTGATAGTTTGCATGCTGTATGAAGTCTTTTGTTTCTGGCTTTTCTCCTACTGTTGCAAACGGCAGCACCAGGAACTACTTGATAATAGTCAACTATACCTTCCTTTTTTTTTATATACCATAGTGCCTTCACTTCATAATGAGAAAGTTCTTCAAATCTTTATTAGTTTCCCATACTACCCCTGTTAGAGATCCTTGCCCCGTAACACTTCCAGGCTGAGCACTGAGGAATTTTTGTATCCTCTCTGTGTCTGTCCAAATAAGTGTTCAGATTATTTGTTTCAAAGCTGCTGTAGTCTACTTGTTCCATTCTTCTTATAATTTCAGTTGTGGTAAATTAACAAGTTTCCTTGTTTAATTTTAGCCTAAGAGCTCTCTTTTCTTTTCTGAAACTGCTTGTGATATCTGGTCAACTATTTCCCTGATAAGATGTCCCACATAACCTTAGATGATATATAAGAAAGCAGAATGGTTTTTTGCTTTTTAAAAGTGGTGTGCAATGTGAAGAAATAATCCCTTCAAAGGGCACTGGATCTCTGGTAGAAAAGCCTTTTTTAAGGGTGCTTGCAGTGGCATATAACTTTTACATGCTATAGATTATTTAAAATTCTCTAGAAAACTAATTACAGGAATGTTTCCTTTTGTTGACAGTGTAAGATGTTATCTTTTTACCTTTATAATTATTTA